CAACTGTTCCTGTATTTTTTTTTTTTCCCTCTGGACCCCATTTCTTCCTCCATCTGCCTCTGCTGTTTACTCTGTGAGGCTAAACACAGTGCCCATCTACTCACTATGTCTACCATGAAGGTGAAGCCCTCAAATTAAGAGATAATGCTAACTGTAGAACGCTGTATTTTTTCCAGCATGTACCCCTGAATCTTAACCAAAATAACAAACAACTTTCATCTGAGCCCACGTACTAAGTACCTCTCCAAAAATTCAAAAAAGCAGCTTTTCAGAAGAAAACCATACAGAAAACCACAGAAACAGCCATGTCTGGAGCTGAATGCAGTTGCTATTTGTCCAACACAGAATTACAAGAACTACTGCACTGTCCACTGTCCACCTGGTTTCTGGTGAACACACTATGGATTTCTGCATACTTACTATACTTGAGGAGACTCATATGTTTAAAGACTTCACCTGAGACAATGAGGCAGAGTCAGTAAAATGCATTTCCCTTACATCCCTCGGAAGGTCAACCCCGTCTCCACCAGCTGAATACACCAGAATACAAACTGCCAGGCTCTTCACAGAATCACAAGGTTGGAAACGACCTGCAAGATCATCTAGTCCAACCACCCTCCCATTCCTATTAGTACCACAAGCTACTAAACCATATCTCGTAGCTCCTCACCCAGGCACCTCTTGAACACTACCAGGGACGGCGACTCCACCACCTCCCTGGGCAAGCCATTCCAGTGCCTGACCACACTTTGAGAGAAAAAGTTTCTCCTAATGTCCAACCTAAACCTCCTAACACTCAGGGTCTGTCCCAGCTGCCAGAGCTCTGACCGCAATGAGTTTGAAAAGCATTGCCATCTGCAGGGTTGCACTGACAATGGATTTGCATGTCTGTGTTCACTTTCTGGGGGAGCCATATTTCAGCTCAGAACCTGCACCTCACAGAATTCTTCCCTGTTCTTATCACTCCTACCTGGGTCGGAAAAGGACAGTTGCTCCTCATGCTAGTGCTGGGCTCCCTCCTCTGCTGCCACAGGAGGCAGTTTTACTCTTCACTGAGCTGAGCTAAAGAGGGAAGTAACTCCAGTCTCCAAAGGAGAACAGGGAAGCTGATGTTCACCCTGGCCTGGCACAAGACCCAGACCCAGGAACCCTTCTGGTAGTGGGTGTCCTCTGAAATGCGCACATAAAATTTCTGTCTAGGTAAAATAAGGTCAGATATTTTACAGAATCACAGAATCACCAAGGTTGGAAAAGACCTACAAGGTCACCCAGTCCAACCACCCACTCAGCACCAACAGTTCTCACTACACCACGTCCCTCAACACAAAATCCAAACGTTCCTTGAACACCTCTAGGGTCGGTGACTCTGCCACTTCCCTGGGCAGCCCATTCCAGTGCCTGACCACACTTTCAGAAAAGCAGTATTTCCTAACATCAGCCTAAATCTCCCCTGGTGCAGTTTGAAGCCATTCCCTCTAGTTCTATCACCAGTCAAATGAGAGAAGAGGCTGACCCCCTACAACCTCCCTTCAGTAGTTGTAGAGAGCAGTAAGGTCTCCCCTGAGCCTCCTCTTCTCCAGACTGAACAATCCCAGCTCCTTCAGAGCTCCTCATCAGGCCTGTGCTCCAAACCCTTCACAGCTTTGTCGCCCTTCTTCAAACCCGCTCCAGGGCCTCAATGTCTTCCTTGCAGCAAGGGCCCAAAACTGAACACAGTATTCAAGGTGCGGCCTCACCAGAGCTGAGTACAGGGCGACAATCACTGCCCTGCTCCTGCTGGCAACGCTGTTTCTGATGCAAGCCAGGATGCCATTGGCCTTCTTGGCCACCTGGGCACACTGCTGGCTCATATTCATGTCTAAGTTTCTACTGACTTACAACTTCTAATATGTAGCTAAACTGTTTATAGTCAGTCCAGTATCCTAATGGCTGCAAGAGTTCTCACCTTCCTTTTCCCAACAATCTTTCTGCCTTACATAATGGTTGCTCAAGATAGTACAGGCAGCCAGGCCTGGCAATTGGATTAAAGTTTGACTCGGTGTCAGAATATAAGGCGTTTAGAATAAAAAATATTCCTGCAAATTTTTTATTACGTAAGTTAACAAAATTCTTCCAAGCTCAACTCCCATAGGTGACTTTATTGGATTGTTAACTCACGTACATTTGGCTACCATACACACAGACCAGTCTCATGCGAGAGACAGCTTGTGACATACACAGGATGCCAGGCATTGTGAAGCTGCTAGGTCTGCATCTTTAACCATAAAGCAAGTTCTCAGTAAGGAAACAGACAGCATATGTATAAAGGTGCACACAAACGTTTTTCACCTGTACAGCAACACCAAGCATCTTAAAAAGCTCAGACAAAGTGAAATATCTCACCAAGTCTCCTGTGAGAAAACTTCACAATGGCAATATAGGATTTTTTTTTTTTTCCCTCTTCTGCTGTCCAGAGACATATTTCTCTCTGAAGCATCACTCTGACACCGCTATGAAGATGAAATTTCTCACAGATATATGCTCATCTCTTCTCATCTCAGAAGCAAGCCTGCTCGTTCACTCCTAACCAGTACACTCCAACTGTATCATCTCCCAGATTAGCTAAACACAGGTAGGCCTCCCTTACACCAGGCCTGAGGCTAAGGCAGCACCTCCAGACTCGACTGGAGCCAGGGGGATCTCAGAAGAACAGTTATGGAGTAAAGGAAATAAGCGTTATGCACTTTACCAAGAGGAATCAACTGCTCTCTCCATGTCTGCTCACAGTATTGGTTGCCCCAGTGAGCACTGCTCCGCCTCCACCAGCAACACCCGTGGGAGCGCGTGCCCCAGCACGTGGCACGAGGGATCGGACTGCTGCCTCAGTCTCAGGGCGCGTGAGATTAGCATATAAATAGCGCCGATGGAGGCACGGCAGCACTGAACCGTGGGTCGTTGGGTGGAAATGAGCCGCTATAAATTCTGCTCCTTACCTAAGGGCTTTCTATACCAACAGCCGACATGAATTGAAGAAAGGGAGATCTGGTTCTCCCACGACCTGGGGTTTCTCATAGTGGAGAAATGACAGAAACACCTTCACTAAGTATATTTATACACACACACACACACACACAGCTATTATTTCAAAGAGAGTATTTTACCTCTTTTTGGTGCCTCTTTTCTACCAGGGCTGCAGAGGCACCAGAACATATTCTAACATAATGATCAGGGACAAAAACACTCAAAATATCTTTGCGTACCTTAATTCTGATCTTAATTACCTCACGCACAGAGCAGCTCCTCCTCAGGGCTCACCGCGGCCGCACCTTTCCGCTTCGCAGCCCCCCCAAGATTTCCCTCAGCCGCGAGCAGCAAGGCGGGCTCCGGGCACGAGGCGGGTCTCGCCCTTCAGCTCGGCCTCTGCTGTTCGCCAGAGCAACGTGCCCTTGACGTTGCCAACCCAGAGAGCAGCTTAAATAGAAGAGCAAACACCTGACACCGTTGCTTCCTCGGCAGTCCGTGAGAGAAAGGAAGCCCTACGTGTACAGCGTTGCCCCGCCTCCCAGGTAGGATCGTTCTCCGACAAAAAACTAGCTCTCATCACGACTCCCCAAAGCCGGGAAAAAAAACACGGAGCTGAAGTATGGTGAGCAGTGCCTAGCACATTCTGTGGCCTTCTTAGCAGGAATCATAGAATCACCAAGGTTGGAAAAGACCTAAAAGATCACCCAGTCCAACTGTTCACCTATTCCCAATAGCTCCCACTAAACCATGTCCCTCAACACAACATCCAGTCTTTCCTTGAACACCCCCAGGGTCGGTGACTCCACCACCTCCCTGGGCAGTCCGTTCCAGTGCCTGACCACCCTTTCTGAGAAGTAATACTTCCTCATGTCCAGCCTGAATCTCCCCTGCCGTAGCTTGAAGCCATTCCCCCTGGTCCTATCACTAATGACACGAGAGAAGAGGCCGACCCCAGCTCACTACAACCTCCCTTCAGGAAGTTATAGAGAGCAATGAGGTCTCCCCTGAGCCTCCTCTTCTCCAGGCTGAACATTCCCAGCTCCTTCAGCCTCTCCCCATATGGCCTGTGTTCCAGACCCCTCACCAGCTTTGTTGCCCTCCTTTGAACACGTTCCAGGGCCTCAATATCTTTCTTGCAGTGAGGGGCCCAAAACTGGACACAGTACTCGAGGTGCGGCCTCACCAGTGCTGAATACAGGGGAAACAATCACCTCTCTGCTCCTGCTTGCAACACTGTTTCTGATGCCAGCCAGGATGCCATTGGCCTTCTTGGCCACCTGGGCACACTGTCGGCTCATGTTCAGCCGAGTATCAATCAATACCCCCAGGTCTATTTCCTCTACGCAAAAGCAGGAAGCAGGGGGTAGGACGTGCTCCTCTACGCAGGAAGCTTGAACAAGTGATTTCTCTCATGAGTAACATGTGACCATGGAGACAGATGAAAATCTGAAGAAAAAACATGTTCCTCCAGTTAAACAAAAAAAAAAAAAAAAAAGCAAAAAAAAAAAAAAAAGTCACATTATAACGACCAGGGCCCAGTACACAAATTGCCAGAACAAAATAGTGTACTGAGTTCTATTTCATACAGGTCAAAAACCTTGCGACAAAGTTTTTATTACATTTTCTTTTATTACATTTACTAGATTAAATATGTTCAGAAGCCTCTTTTTTAAAACACACAGAAGGAAAAAAATACATTCTTCATGTACATATTAAATACCACATAGCAGGCAGCATGTACAGCGCAAAGTAGGAACATAAGGTATCACCACTGTGGACAATTATCAGGTTTTTCTCCTGCAGTAAAGTTTGAGCAATTCAACATTACTGCTTCCAAAGAGAAATGCATGCCCTTCCTTCACTTCCATGTTATTTTGTGGGATCATGCAGGGAAGTTTTTTACTTTTTAAAAGTATTACAGAAATCCTTGCATCACATGAAAAATTATCGAACTCTACAACTTTACCTCTTTCACACATTCACGATTAGAGTACAGGTTGTTTCTTTTTTTTTTTTTTTTTCTCCATTTTAAATAATGATTGCAGCCCAACTCCAAAAATCCAGGGAAAAAAAGATAAATAGAACCTGATAGAGAGAAAGTAATCAATCAGACTGATTGTTGTAGTGTCCAGGAAACAGGTACCCACATGCGCACAAACATACAAAAAAGGTGGAAGATAGTAAGATGTGATTGACCATATCTTATTTATTAAAAGTCCAGAGAAAGTGCATTGGATTGCCCGCGTCACGTCAGCAGTGAATCTTTAGCATCACTCAGTATGGGATGTCATTCTGGTAGTACTGAATCATATCATAGGTCCTACTCCTAGAGAAGAAAAGCAAAGCCAGAGGTAAATGATAAAGAAAAACCAAAACACTGCAACCACTGTCAGAAAAACCACCAAGATCCCACAGAAATAAAATATGAGTGAAGCACAAAAACTCTATGTTTTTGCTGCACTCAGTTTTGCCAGCTTATGGGTTTACCTTTCCTTTAACTATAGAGAAAAGACATACATAAATGCCAAACCTGTTGCTGAGGAAACAATTCTGGATGATCTTGATGATGAAAGTTGCAGCCTCCCGTTCGGTCATGTTGGGGCTGAATCTGTGTCTATATAGGAAAAACAACAACAGCACCACAAAAAATAGGAGTACAAATTAATGAGGTTTCTTTTGAGCATGACACAAATATGTTTCTGCAAAAGTATGTAGTTCTTTCAAGACAACATGTGCATAACAATAATATTTTAAAAGCACTTGTCTTTATTCTTACAGTGGAGGCTGAGGCTGCGAACTTTTGACCAGCTGAGTGGTAACAGCAAGTCTCTCTAGACAGCCACTGCCTCTGAAATACCTTAATACCTAGCAATGACTGTGAGTTCCAGCCCATTATACTTCATGAATTTGTGTTTATTTTTAGGAAAATGTAGTTAAGTTATATATAGGAAATACTGACTGCAGAACTATTCTGGAGGCATTAGCCTGAAGGGCTGCTTAAAATGTATGTGTTTGCATAAACTTTTGACGTTACAACAGTCCCAGTTCAGTACTGCATCTGCCAAACAAATTTGAAGTTGCTGCTCCTCAGATTTCAACACCACTTCAGATAGAACACATTACCTCTCATTAAAGCAGATCTTTTCTTTACGTTCTTGCTTTGGTAGTGCTAAGAACTTTAAGATAAATAATGTGCTCACGTAGTCACTTAAAAACAGTTTGAACCTAATCATATGAAAAGGCCTCTGAAAATCCTGCTTTTTGAGATACCTCCAAAAAAAAATCTTATGTTTCTATAACACTAAGAAATACAAGATATTTGAGTAGCATGACAACAACACTTGCTGCAGGAACTGTGACAATACACACGCTACAGAGAGCAAGCATTATGAATTCCAGTGCATATACATGCTGGCTTACTTTAAAAGCTTGATTGTCTGCCCTCGGAAACATGGCAGCCCTGTATCCAGCATTAATGTAACAAGCGAGACTACAGCATCCATGTAAGGCCTAGAACAAAAAAAAGAGGACAAAAAGGTTACAGCACTTGAACTTCTGCAGCTTTAATAGGTAAAGCAGGCAGGTTGAGAAGACTGAGGCTGGACTACTCAGTCCAGACTTTTCTGTAATTAAAACAGCACATGTAATCGTCTCATATTTGTTGGCAGAGCTACATCATTGCTTGTGATCTCTTTAATTAAATTTCATTCCTTTATACTGGACTATGAGAGATTTAAAATGCTGCAAGATGAGGAGCCCTCGAGAAAGATTATATAAAGCAATACTTTGGGAAATAATACTACTTTGGCAACAGAAAGGTCCACCAGTGCATCAAAAGTGATACTACAGTAATTAGGAATCGGAAGATAATCTGTTACTCTACTACATAATTGTCTGCTACATCAGCTCAGCTTCCCTTCTTCCTCCTCTCCTCCCACTCAGAGGAGCTCCCACTAAATCTATCACTACTCTGCTACTGGAGTGACATTTCTGGCTTGACATAGAACTCCCTAGATTGCACCACTTCAAGGAAGCAAACTGTGCTCAACTCCAAGACAGTCCCTTCTGGGGCTACTTGCTGAGTAAATTAATTCTGCAAGATAACATCAGTAATGTTCCACACTCGTGATGATAGAACAATCCCTTATCTGGGCTCTGTCATACTGTCCTCCTAACTATATACAACATCCACTTCACATCCATTTCGTACTCATTCTCCATGTTAAAGCAAAACTTGCAATGCCATGTGGGAGCCCAAGCGAGAGCAGCCACAGGAACTTCTTGTGGCTTACAAGCATTCATGCTGGACCCTCAGCTCCTCGTCATCTTCCTCCTCTTTGTCCTACACTTATGATTCTTGTTTGCGTGATGTAAAGCATAGTAAAGTTACAGATCTCTAACGTTACTGGCTGGCAATCATCGCTGAAAAGCACAGCTACAAAATCTCTAATATTTTACAAGAGAAATAGTAGCACTTTTTCCACATAATTAACTCAAGCTGAAATGGCGATTAATATGATTGTCTCAGTTGGGAAAACCAGGTCATGATTCTCCTGTAGCTTCTTGTTGCAAAGTTTTAATTAACAACATGCTAAATTGAAGAAAGTTGATGATCACGTTTATAAATTGAATGTAATATATGATCTTCTCAAATGTCATGAGGTCAGAAAAAAAAACACAAAGTTAGGCTGCAAAATTTGTTTCATGCAGCAGTTTGACAGACTAAGACCCTGTACAGACTGCTGTTCATTATTATTTAACATCCCATCTGGTTTTCGTTGTGCAAGCACTTCCACTTTTAAGCAGTTAATAATGCTTTACCTGACTGCCAGATAGCCTCTGACACACATCTCCATAAACCATTTGAATGGAGTTGCTTCCATTTTTCCTCCCATTATCATCACCATCTCATCAGTCAGCTTAATGTCGGGCTCCCAGCCCAGATTACCACCAGGTGAGCTCTCAAACATGAATCCAAAATCTGTACACAAAAGATAAGCTGCTTCAGACATTCTGGTGGTTAGTTGTCCTTTCTTCTGTCAGCTTTGACAGAAGAAAGGAGGGGTGCATTTCACATCATAATATCTATTTTCCTACCAGCATTTCAATTCCAAATGGAAAAAAAGCTTTGATAAAGTATAAAAAACACCAACAAAAGAATTATTTAACATTAAACAATGCTCAAGGATGATGACATCAGATAAGCAGGCTAAAACATCTGCAGTTCTAGAAAAACAAAGCTAAAGCAGATGTTACAGCCTTATGCAATTATATGAATTTACTCATCAACTTTAGTTCACACCCAAGCAATAAATGTGTATATGTGTATATGTATTCGTACATCCATACATATTTGTATACGCTTGTACATGTATGAATACGTATAATCCACAGATGTGTATTCCCTCCTGAAGCTGGTAAAACCTTGTAAAACTGAAATTATGCAGGAGCAGCTAACAAAAACACACATACAATATTAAAACGTCGGGTAAAACGTCCCACGTATTTAAAAGCTGAAATCTGATTAATCTCAAATTGAAATTCTATTAGCAGTATTTTACAGCAGAAGGAAAAGATGACTATGACTGACCAATGTGAATGATGTGTCCCTTTTTGTCCAGCATGATGTTGCCATTATGCCTGTCTTTAATTTGGAGCAGGAAAAGGAGAAGACTATATGCAGCCATACTGCGGATGAAATTATAGCGAGCCTGTAAAAGCAAGAAGTCAAAGCAAATAAGAACACATAATTTAATAACTCACTCATCTCAGAAGCAGATACAGATGAACATTATTTTTCCTCCATTAATGATTAATTTGAATCTATGTTCAATAAAACTGTCCACATACCTACAGCTGCAGTAATTTCTTTAGCTAGCTTTCTCATAGCTAAAAATGAACTGCCTACATCAGAAGCCAGGTACAGCATTGCAGTAGTAATTATCTAGTTATTTGTCATTATTTCTTATGGTTAGAACATTACTCAATTGAAATCGTGCTACGACTGCAAACTGATATTTTACCTTCTGGAATGCAAGAGTAGACTCATCTCCATATTGCCTTGTAAAGTAATCGTACATCCCAAAGTCTGTCTGCCTGCCCAGCTGGTCACGGGACGTACAGTCAGGAATGCATTCAATAACACCACACTGAAGGGAAGAAGAAAAACAGGTCTGTACAGCATACTCCCAACATACATTTTCTACGTGGCTCTTGGCAGTCACAGAGGTCTCCCAAGAGATTTGGGAAAGCCTTCACATCAACAAATACAGAATTTCTAGTATGTTCATTTAAAAACAAAACAAAACAAAAAACTACACCCAATGTTTGAGAATTTCCATGCAACATAAGACACAAGCAATTTGTGATTTTCTACAGACTTGCACAAAGTTGTCCCAAAAATCAAGCAACAAACATGAATAACCACAAGCAGCAAAATTTCTGAGCCAAAAGCCTTAGAAAAGAAGAAAGTAGAAGAAGGACTGTGTCAATAGTACTCTAAGTATTTGGCGTAACGTGCATAGTATTTCTTTGCAGAAATGTTAACTTATGTGTGCAGGTAAAGATTACTTTTTGTTTTTAAATTAGGAACTACTTTCTACAGCAGTAGAGTTAACTGCTCACTTACCCCAGGAGCTGTGGCCACCACTCTATATGGAAACACAAAAAGATCCAAGCCTACCAGCTGAAATATATTCTTGAAGAGATCAATGATTTGTAAAGCTAACATGTCCTGTTATGTAAGAAAAAAATTGCACAAGAATTACAGGGGTTACAGATCACAAGTCAGATGACAGAAATGCTCTGAAGAACTCTGAAGTGAACATAACTTTCCCCAGAAGGTTGTGCATATACTGTGGTTCTGGGGAAAATCAAAAAAGGAAAAGTAAAGGATGCTCAAACGGGTAGCAAACAAAACCAAAGATTTAACTGCTGACAACTTTTCTATCGTTCTTTGATTAAGAGGAATACTAACAACTTCAGAGATAATAACCATCATTCTCCTTTAATCAAAAAGGACCAAGCTTCAATGTACAAGATAGTACAAGATATCACCTTGGAAATTACTCTGACATTACCAACTGTTCAATTGAAAAATGAACTCTAAAAAGATTTGTACATCATGGCATTACGTGAACTAACTTGTAAAAATGACATTTGTATCCAAGTCAAATTTTCCAGAATAATATAACACAATTCTCTCCCCTATTCCATACCTAGTAGGGATTCTCAAAATTCCAAAGAAAAAGCATTTCCAAGCTAAAATTATTTCCTTCTTTTATATCGTCACCTACAAATTTGTTTTTATATAACTGCAAAGTGTAGTAGCTTTGTACCTGTCTGCAGTCATCACCCACTTTGAAGATAGCTGCTTGCCAACAGATTTTCTTACTGTCCACTCCTTCTTCTGCACTTTCATCGATGGAATCAGAACGACATCGCAGACCTGCACAAAGAATAAAAAGCAAAACTCAGATGCACACCTCAGTTAGTATTTTCATACCATGACAAGTGCCCTACACTCAAAATCACATTTTACACTGAAGTAACACTATAAGAACTTCTGCTTTGCAAGATGAATTTCATAAGGCAGTTTCCTTTCTGTATTAGAGTTGGAACGTATACATCAAAAATTTCTTCATGATTTACTTGATAAATGCCCAAATTACACTAAGCTAGTCACTTAGATTACCCTGCAAAAAAACCACAGAAAGGCAATTAATTTGTCAGTCTAAAGTAACTGCACATATTTTTTTCAGGATACTTCTGTGGCGTGCTTCCAGGGACTTAAAAAAAAAAAAAAAAAAAAAAAAACCAGAAAAAAACCCAGAAGTTCTCAAAAAATTTTCTTCTCTTTCCATTTTATGCATTTTTATTTTTGAGCTGAGCCACTGCAGATTAAGTTCAATATGGAAGCATTTCTTTAATGCAGCAGCACAGGTCACTAAAAGCAGGCAATTTTAAAGAAAGTGCTGACTCTTACTTAATAGCATCAGTGATTAAAACACATTTACTAACCTTCTTTTTCAAGCTCGCTAACTCCACATCGTTTCACTTTAAATTTGGCCAGGTAGGGTGCTTTTGCTGCACTACATTGTAATAAATAAAAAGATGATGAGTGCAAGTTAGCCAAATGAGGATTTATAGAAAGACTAAATATCATGAATTAACTTAATGGAAGAATAAAAGACCACACTACCTCTGCATAGGGGTCCCTGATTTGTAATCAATGTCCAGAACAATAGCTTCAGGATTGCTGGGCAGGTAGCAGCCTGCAAAATGGAGTAGAGAGTAAAGAAAAGATTTATTGGCCAGTGTGACAGTGATACTTAGAGAACAACTGTTCTTACTGTCTACAGCTTCATTACATACTTTTGAATTAAATGAATGCGAGAGATAAACTGGAGGATACAGTCTGTATGTCACAAAGAATGTAGAACACTTCCCATTGGTCAATGATTTCCATTAATTTCTAGCATACAGTTTTGAACTAATACTGCAGAATCTTTACCATAGAAATGCACAGATAGGACTTCTCTTACAAGAGTTTCTAGCAAGAGGTAGCAGCATATTCCAGTGCACTGTTAGCAGAAGAAAAATGGTAGGAGAACTGAAACCTATCAGACACAGGTCAAAGTGCATTTTAAAAGAAAGATTCAGATGGGGAAAATATGGTTAAAATATATGTCTATGTGTTTGTGTATACATACATGTACAAATAAATGAAAGGACTTTGAGATAGTCAAGGTAATGTTTCAAGGGCATGTCTGAAGCAAGAAAAAGGAAAACGAAGGCAACTGGACATGTTTTATTCTCAAGATAAATTCTTAAAGATATTTAATCTCTTTCAATAAAGTTGGTCCAAAAGAAAACTGTTAACTTCCCCTCTTCAGATATACTTTGCTGTTTTTACCTGTGTTACCTAATTTGACTGTAAGCACTTTGGGGAAAACTTTGGTGCACTTTGTATAGAAATTAACAGCTGGTAAAAATATTCAAATTGCTTCAAGAGAAACAATCAACTGTAAGAAGAACAGAAACCTTGTCACCAGCACCAGAACTGTGAGCAGCCACTTGCCAGACATTTAGCATTTACTTACAGAAAATTTTGCAGACACTGAATGCAAAAAGACCACTACATTATATGATGAAATCACTTCTTACCAGGCTGCACTTTCACCTCAGACAGAGCACTCAAACAAGCTTTTTTTCTTTCATCTCCTTTAGGAAATGGCCTAGGAAGATTAATAATATTTTATATAACTATATACTATTGTGTGTACTTCCCTGGTGTTCTGATTCAAATTTATACAATGACAAAGATGTCTTACTGCACCACTGTCTTACTGAAGTCCTTGCTTTGTAGATACAACATTAGCTGGATGTATAGGCAGCTGTCAAATCCAAACAGCATAAGAGCAGTGAATTAAATATGAAGATACTTCCTGCAGAAAAATTTGCACATAAAGTACGCTTTTGTCAACAGTGTAACAGTATAGTTATGCCAATATAATTCTCCTTTGTGGAACTTACACCAGAATAAGAACACTGCTTTGGAAGTGGGATAAGCTAACTGAAAAAGGACAAGCCAACAAAATACCCATGCAATTACATACCTAATTTGTTCACATACTTTGCATGATTGCAGACGTCAACTGGATAATTGGTAACATGGTTAACAAGTAGTACATGCAATTACCCAATTTGCACAGGCACTTGTGTTAACCATCTATTGAGATCAGCCATGCAATTGCACACATTTGGCGTAGCACCACAGAACTGAAAGTTATTACTTATGCTCTATTTTTAAGCAGTACAGTAGATTACTGAAGCAGCAACATAATACTTACATAATCATAGATTATAAATTTACTCATTTATTCCATCTACAAAGCAAACAGCATCTCCTCTCTGTTGCCTTTACATGGGAAATGCATAAAACATGTCTGTTTTTTTTTAAGTACCTAAGGTGCAAAATGAAACGCTTGCAAATACAGTTATTAACAGTTGCTTGATTATGATTCCATGCTAACAAAAAGTGGTTTGATTTCATCCTAAATTTCAAGGTATTCATGTCCGAGAGCCCTCTTTTAATTCATCCTGCTGGGTGAGAACATTGAAGACATGGAGCATTTGATAGGTTTCTGTGAAGCAAGTGTCCTTTAACCTGATGCCTTTATACTGCTGGTTTGCAAAGCTTCATTTTAAAGGAGGTATTTTCTAAGAAATATGTATTATACAGCCTTCGAACATTTTAACACACTTGAGAATGTTCTGAAAATATGCAATAAAACCACACGTAATGATTTTAGAGCTTGCGTGCTGGGCTGCTGCCACCCACTGGCAAGATTTATAGAAGTTAAATTGAGCATCTTGCAGTCAGCAAGACTTTTAAAGATCAACAATCTGCTTATTCTGACAGTGCATCTTTCTGTAGCCACAATTTAGGTACAAAGGGAAAATACTTATGTATAAAAAAAACCCAAACAATTATTTGTATTTCACCACATGAGATCTCCTTGTGAAGGGGAAAAGTGTCACACAATTTTAGCAGAAGGTAAGTTATTTACAAGTACTTCAGGTGTTTTTGTTGATTGGTTTTTCGTCATGTTTCATTTTTGCTTATTTAGAAGTCCACACAAAGTGTGGATAACATGTTAAAGTATGCAAAAAAAAAAAAAAAAAAAAAAATGACAGCCAGCCTGCCACACTTAAATGCAGGAGTACTGCTGTTCCTGAACCAAACTTTCCAGGAGAATGCTAAATGCTTAACCAAGAAGCCCAATTAACAATGTAGGTGACAACAAGACTGATAGAATTTCAAACTATATAAGAAATCGGATTGTTTTTCCAACTCCAATCACATATTGGAGTGCTCTTCCATGGAACTTCATTTCCTATTACTAACCACAATGTCTTTATAAAAATTGAATTAAATCTGAAGTTTACAATCATCTGCTTCCAGAATAAGAAGCAACAGCTGGTTAAGACAGAACTGCCAATTTCAAGCACAGAGATTAGGCCAGATAAAAATTACCTCTAAGAGTCAAAGTAAAATGAGACCTTTCATCCTACTATGACTGTTACACTTAAAAAAGAAAAAAAAAAATCAACTTCTTATCATATAAGTAATTAATTCTCTTTCACTGAAGATACTATTTCAATACGACTAAAAGCAACTTAGCCTATTAACTGTGACACTGTTAATTTCCAGAAGTGCACCCCAAAAAAAGCACAATTTCTGTGGTGTAACACTTACTTGATAATGGCTGAAACATTAGTGATTTTATTAAAGAAATCAAATTCCCGCTGGTAGAATTCCTTGGCTGGGCCAGATAATGAGCCAGTTATCTCCTCTACTAGCTGCTCTAGAAGTTCCCCAATGTCAGCTGCACATGAAAAAGAAAACATCTGTGTTAGAAGCTTATTTCAGAAAGCTAAGTGATACATGTGATGGGTACAAAAAAAGTAGCAATGCAAACATTGCTGCATCTCTTTTGTCAGGTAGAATACTTCAACAGAACATGCCCTCTCTCTCTATAAACTAAAGAAGTTTCCAGCTTAAAGGATTCCCTCCTGTCAGGAGAAAGGAAGGAGATTCAGCCTGAACTGAGGCAAGAAAGAGGCTAAATCATATTATATTTCAAAGAACTCACGATCTTTTTGGTGTCCTTCTTCATCCAGGTAGATATTGGTTTTCATGTTCCAGATGAATTGGTGAGCCAAGAGCTGGGATTTGGCGGCTGCCCACAAGATGTACTCTCTAACATAACCCATCTGCAATTATAGCCAGTCCAATAAGAAAAAATCATTACAAATCAAGCAGACTCAACATTACTCATACTAATAGTGATTCTTAAAAGTCAAAAATATTTAACGGATGGAAAGAATACTGCTGCAATCTCAATCATGTTGCTAAAAGGCCTCTGAAGAATGATTCTGTACTCTAAAAGGTAAGGAATTGACCTAACACGTTTTAGCTTTATTACTGACATATTCCATCACTAGCTTTGCACATCTGTGCTATTTTCTCCATGTTCCACATGGTTTTCAAATTTCCTTAAAATCTAGGTAGCTCATACTAGGTATACAAACCAGAGAAAATGCAGTGGAACCACTGATATTGCCTGGCACCACTAAATGCTCCTGTATTATCAGAAATGCACATACTATCTTATGGACTGCACATTTGGTGTAAAGAACTAAATGCTTACACAGTTCCACAGAAATTTTCTAGGCAATAAGAACAAACTTAGAAAAGAAGTTGAAGTGTACAAATGAATTCTACTCATCCCAGGGAGGGCATAAAAGAGTACATCCAAAGGAAGACAGCCTCTAAAGGCATTTGTCTTTTATGTATTAGTTATACCATAACAATAAGCAGCACTATTTTAAGCTTAAATTTTGTCTGCTTGGCAGTTTTAAAGTCTAAAAGACGTTTCCAAAGTTTGCTTGGTTAATGTGCAGCTGCTTCATATTCTCACCTTATCATACCGCAGTGCCTGCACAATCTGTGGAATGTAGAATAAAATGGCATCCTGAAAAAGATGGAGTTTTTATTGTTATCGTTTTAGTACTCAAGAGGAGAAGACAGGTCACATGCACAGTGAAAAGTTTCCTTCAGTTACGTGATAGAATACAATTGCAAATACCGCCCCCTCTTTACTTTAAACTGTATATGTGCCCTCTCTTTTAATACAAGCATTTTTCTGCCCCGTTCAACTTCAAAAGTATTAACGATAATGTCTTTTATAGTCCTCATGCAAATCTGACTAGTATTAAAAGTTCTCTGCTGAAAGGAGAATTTGGTAGTGTTTGAGGGGAGCACTGAAGAATTCAAGTTTGTGCAATTTATGACTAAATAATGACCAGGTATACAAGCCAGCAATATGTTGGACAGTCAACTTTTTCATCCCAGTCTCTTCATGCTCTCCAACTGGGTGTGCCCATTTTGTACACATATCTTTCCACAGTGCTAAAATGAAGCCTGTGGCCACAATGACTATGGGTGTGACTACGCCAAAACTCACCGGAGGAAAAGACCGCAGGACTTTAACCCCATACTGAGCTGTTAGAGGATGAGGTGGATACATGCTTGAAAAATAGGAAAGGCCAGTTGGTGGATCTGTTGGTGCCCAGCACAGAACATGACTGAGCTCAGGTGCATCAGCATCAATTGTATGCCAGGTAACCAAGTACTGAAAAAACAGGTCAGACCACATTAGCAGCTTACAGCACCCAGTAATATCTAGGAAATGCACATCAGATAGTAATGCTATAATCCAGCTTATTAAAGCAGGGCAAGAAAAAACATGCTATATTTTATAGAACCACAACTATTTTATATTCTTTGGAAATCTAACGATTGGAATCATTCCACCTTCTAGATCACTACATGAAGTTAATAAGGTCAAATTACTAAAAGCTTTGTAGAGAAGTATGGGGAAAAATAAGAACAGATGAGTTAAAAAAAAAAGTGCAGCTTTCTTGTCTGTTTTAGAGGTGATGTACAGAATGCTTTACTGCGGATGAACATAACAAGCCTCTTCCATTTTAAGAGGCTTGGCATCTCAAGAGAGCGGGTTAAGCTTAAAATAACTTCAGCAGCAGTGCTCACCATGACTTGGTCCTATGGTCTTTCTATGCATTATTCAAAAGGAGCAGAAATAGCAGGTGTACTGCAATTTATGAGCTCTGAGAAATTCCGTGTACAGTGAGAGCACACTTGGGAGCAAGCAAGCATTAACTTGCCACCTACTTTTATTCCTGTGATTTTTGCCTCAGCATCTTATTTCCACAGCTGTTTTGTCATTCTCTCCTACAGAAATACGCTTAGCATTAGAACATACACTTTTCATACACTATAGCTAAGGCTGTATTTCCAGTATAACTGAACTAAATAGCCATTTTGTGGCCCTGTATATAAATATTCATTAGTACCTTTATTGCTTCAGGAACATCACTAACAGCTCCTGGGTCCAACCGAACCAGACGAGTTACTTCTGTTCCAATAGCTTCAGTGTTCTTAAATCTACATATAACCAGGAATACAATAACCTTATCATAAAACTTTGAAAGCCACTTCTATTTACACCAAGATGAAAGCAGCAAAGGGCAGGAAAGTAAATGCTCAACAAACAAATAGTCCAATCATCAAACAGTACATGCTGAGGGAACAATATGCTGTCAAAGAGAAGATTCAGGTTTAGGAACAACTGGTCCTCATCCAGTGCTTTTGTACTAATGGCTAGCATTTTAGCCCATTATTGAATTATTGGTTGAAATATAATGTCTGAGATTCTACAGAAAGCTTCACACAAACTACCACTGTTGTGCAAAAACTATCACTGTTATAAGGAGGAAAGGATTTTCTTTCCCTTTCAAAGCCAACTATGCTAATTCTCCTAGCATGCTTTTTAAAGTACAAGCCAATATACAGCTAGAACACTTAATTCAAATATACTTCTAGAACTGTTTAAATGCTATGCCTGCTAATGGTTTAAACACTACTAATAAAACGAACATAATTTCTGCTGAACAAAACACTGTTTATATGTTAACATCAAACAGATGGAAGGGATAGAAATTGGACTCTGATAGATATCGAGCCAAGTTAATATATTTTTAAGTAATCCACTTTTTATTTGAAATGTCTCAACCAGCTATGAAGGTATACAAGGAGGCTGTAAGCAAGAGCAAGTACCTTCAATAGTTATTGTGCCTGTACTCACTCAACTTCTAAGAAAGGCAGCAGGAATTACATCAGCTTTTTCTTTTGAAATTTCTCACCGGGTAGGCAGCTGTACAGCAAGGTGAGGAGAGATGCTCCAAGCTAGATTCACATTATCTTTCCATTGCTTCTCACTAAGACTGATATACTTCGATCTCCAGTTTGCCACACTGCTCTCCCCAGTTTGATCCAGCTCTAATTCAGGGGAGGAGAGTGGATTGTACCATGTGATTAAGCGTTCAATTTCAGTAGCCTGAGAGAAAAGGAAAAAAAGAATAAACATTCTCTTGAAGTAAAAATACTTCTACTTCACTCTCTCATGGTACTTTAGTCAGTACATCATGCAAAAACAACTGTCTTCAAAACTCATACTGCTTCCCTACAAACTCACCAGCAACGAGAGCAGTAATGTCCTTCGCTTCATGTAGTACTTGTGTAGCTGCGTACCTCTGTTAGTCTTCTTAGACATTCCTCAAATAAAGGTTAAAAACGTTTTTAGTGTTTTATTATTCAGTATGTTAGTCCATTTTTAAACTGTCCACACCTTGCAACTTACACATTTAAGAACTGAATCACCATAAGACAATTGTAAATTTGCATTTGAATGATCTCAGAAAGTCAGCAATGCAGCTACTCATGGTGCTTGCTCTAAGTAGCATAATTTGGATTTTTTTTTTTTTTTTTTTTTTTACTCCTCCACAATTTGGCATTGATAATCGAATACCCTGCCAGGAGAACGCTAGCCTAATGTTGAATATTGCCTGGAGACAACATCAACGTATAAAATATACTGCAAAGTTGGATATAATCAGCTGGTTACAGTTTAAAAGATACCTGATTTTTTAGATATGGTTGACATGCCACTGGACAGAGGGTAGGTATTTATCCATCCTTGCGTAGCCTGCTGCCGAGACCCAACATTGATGTCCAGGTTGCTCCTGGTGTCTTGATTATCTAACAACAGAACACAGATAGAATGTAATCAAATAAAAAAAAAAAAAAAAAAGGGCTTTTGAAACTGCAGATGAAGGATCTCACCAGGTGGCACAAGTTGGCTTGCTGTGAGATACTTTTTGTCTGAGAACATCGCTGTCCAAAACTTGATCAATATGCTGATGTCCTCACGAAGCCTCTTTTCCCCCTGCGTAGGGAACTTCGATGGCCAACTCAAGAAAATCATACAAAGAATGTTGAATGTATTAAAAAAAGCAAACAAACAAACAAACATTTTTTTTCCCCTCCTTTTGACCACAGTCTAAAAGAGATGAGACCAAGTGTTATACTGTATTTTATTCTTATTTCTTCATTCTGTCTGCCTGAAGCTTGCCATTATAATTGAGAATTAAGGTGGTAGCCTGTCAGCATCTTGGATTCATTTGAAATTTAATATTATGATTTAATGTTATGGTTTCCTCACATTGTCAGACAGTCCTATTACTACATTATGTTCTGCTGTGTTCATGTCAAATCTTGCGTGCTCATACTCTCAAAATGATTTCTGAAAACAGTATTTCAGCCACATGTTCTGTAATAGCAGTTCTGTACATCTAACATCTAGGTACAGTTTTGAGCACTGAATGAACTCCAAAAAAAGAACAGAAAGAGAAAAAGAAAACAACAACTGCAACATTCCTGAAGATCATACATTAAAAACCACATATACTAAAAAAAAATAAAAATAAAAATACAAATTCTGTCTAAAAATCAAGATGGTTTATGAGCCACAAAGAATCACAAACAAAAGCCTTCACTAGAATGAACAAAGAAAAGGAAAGGAAGTTAAATTGCTAGAGAAAAACAGCTTGTGCTTTGAACTTGTTTTTGAACTTGAATTTGTTAGGAAATGTTACACATGCACATTCAGTGAGTAGTAGCAAATAAGACAGTACCTGAAATAATCAAAGGCAGTTGAATAAATCTTCTCTCTCAAAACATTTCGAATAGTTGCATTTGGAACCACATCAGCATGCAGCAAAGACAACCCCAATGTCAGCAACCTAACACATTCAAGAGAATGAAAACCCTGATGTTCCCAAAACAATGATTAAAGCAACACCATACAAACCATAATAAAAGCAATACTATATCTATAATTCTGTTCAACTCGTTGAGAAGTGCCTGTTTCAGAGCTCTCGGAACATTCTTTTATCATCAGCCTGTTCCTAAAGCTGTGATGACTGAACCACACAAAGTTGAAGCCTTCAAGTCACAGAAGAGAAACTGATTGATAGAGCAGAATTATTGCTAACTGATACACAGAATTGATTCCTGATGCCAATGATTCACTATATAAAATTATCTCAAAGTTTTCCAAAGCACCAGAACTGACTTTCAAAATAAAGTTAACACTTCTACTTTGAAAACAGAACTTCAACTCTGCATAATTCCAGGATTTTTAAAGAATTTTCACCGCTTGAAGCCAATGACAAAATAAACAGTTTGCACTTAGTTATTTTGTCCCATATCTCATAACCTTGCTACCGCAACCAAGGAAAAGAAACCCTGCTCACTTGAAACGGGGTCCAATTGCTGCCACATGCCGATTCAAACTGCCCTTTGCCCCTCCAATGTTCAAGGAAAGAGATCGCTGGAGCAGGCTGGAGAAGATCTCTATTTGGTCAGAACTGCAGTACTTGGCTATTTCAAATCTCTGCACCAGAAACTGAGAAAGAGACAGAGATGCTATGCATCCTTCAATTTTATTTTCAATCTTAAAATCAAACAAACCAGTTTCTTCTGTTTCAGACGCGTTCATAACCATCACACTCCTGTAAAAAGAGCATGTCTCTGAGCTCTGAGACAGAGGGACTACCATCATGATTCCACTAGCTCTCCAAATCACAAGAACAAACAGTACAGAATGGCTTAATCACAGCACTATTCCAACATCATCATAGGGGGGACATTCCAGAAATACACACCTCTATCCAGATGTAATGTGGAGTGACTTCTGGCGGACAAGGTCTTGGCTGGCTTTCCTCTGAAGCTGCTAATGGATCTGCTTCTTTCTGCTCAGCAGAAAACAAGCCAACTTTCTGCTCTACTGTCATTTGCCAGGCTCCTGCCATTTCCCGCATGAACTGCAAAAGCAAGATTATAAGATTGAAAAGCATCTTCTTGTATGGAAAGCACAATATTTCTCCACAAGGTACACAACAACAACAGACTACTTCTGTTCTGAAGTTCAGTTAATAACAGAAATACCAAGGGCAACAGCAGACAAGTGCTGTATTTCGTTGAGGATGCCAAACTATCAGTAGCACATGGTGCTGTCCTTTTTCTGCTAAAAGTTACTACATCCTGCTGTAGGATTATAACTTTTACAAGTCTATTTTTTATGCAAGGGAATAATGCCAAGTACCAGAGGCACTAAATGATGAGCAGAGATATTAATGACTGTTTTAAAATATCATTCTATAAATTGCAGTAGTTCAGGATCTAATTCATGAGAAACACAGGTACCTCAAGCAGCAAAGTAAGTTGTCTAGCTGAGTTCCTAACAGCCTTTATTCGCTTTATCATCCCTGCTGTTAAGAAGCATCCATTTCCCACAGTCCACATAGCGAGGATGTTCAGATTCCCAACAATACATCAAGAGAAACTTCCTGGCAGGTTACAGTGTTTAACAATGCATTTACTATTCTTATTTTACATGGATTTAGAACAACGGTGAATCTCTCGATATATTCTTCTTTCCCTTCCCGCTTGCAGGGACAGAAAAAGAGTACTTAAATTGCTTCCTACCGGCACTTCTATTCCATTCTTGGCAGCAAGCAGCCACTCCCAGCAAGCAATTGCTGTTTCCATACCATGTTCGTTGAACATTTGCAAAGGTCCCCAGCACAGATGATGAAGAAGCTGGGGATCACAGTCTGAAAGCAAACATTCAAACACATTTCCACAGCAGAATAAATAAGAGCATAATCAGCATAAAAACAGCTGATAAGAAGGTTCAAGTTTAAGAGCATTTTCCCCAATACAAGCCAACTGATAACAGTTTTGCTTCAAGTTGATGCATACAGAGTTAGTATGCAGATACCTTCTGTGTTTACTACATGTGGCATTCACATCCAGAACGCAGAAGTCCACTCGGTTTTCATTACCTTTGCTGCTTATTAATAGCGCAGTCAACTTAAACATGGCCTGCGTGTAGAATTCAGTCTGGCCTGATTCAAGAGCATTGTTCAGCTCTTTGACCATCAGTTTATTCAGGTCAGATGTTCGTCCTGTAGCATTTGAGAACTGAATCATTCCAGACACCTGAAAAATATAACGAGGCTTTAAATGAAGAACAATATTTCTAGGAGTCTAGTTCGGTACTGGTCATATGCTGAGTAAGGAAACTCAATACAAACAGATCTCTTTTAATTGTATTTTGCCAATGCACCTTAGCTTTGCCTGTAATTTAAGAATTTGATACAAGATGAAGTGGCCTTCTTCGATGTCGTGACAGCATTGGGGGACAACAGAAAGATGACTGATGTCATTTTCCTGGACTCAAGCAAGGCCTTCGACATGGTCCCTCACTAAATCCTTATCTCCAAATTGGAAAGATGTGGATTTGATGGGTGGACCACCTGGTGGATAACAAGTTATTTGAAAGGCTGCAGACAAAGGGCAGTGATCAGTGGTTCTGTGTCCAGATGAAGGCTGGTAATGAGTATTGTCTCCCAGGAGTCTGTCTTGGGACCAGTGCTCTTCAAAATCTTTATTAGTGATATCAGTGACGGAATTGAGTGAGGCACCCTCAGCAAGTTTGCTGATGACACCAAGCTGAGTGGTGCGGTTGACACAGTGGAAGGAAGGGGTGGGGTACCATTCAGAGGGACCTCAACAGGTTGAAAAGGTGGGCCTGGGTGAACTTAATGAGGTTCAACACAGCAAAGTGCAAGGTTTTGTACTAGGACTGGAGGAATCCCAGGCATCCTTACAGAATAGGAGCAGCCTTTGAGAGCAGCCCTGCAGAGAAGGACCTGGGGGTGCTGGGGGATGAAGAACTTAACATGAGCCAGCAGTGTGCTTTTGCACCTTGGAAAGCAAATGGTATCCTGGGCTCCAACAGAAGAGGGGTGGCCAGCAGCGACAGGGAGGTGATTGTCCCCCTCTGCTCGGCTCTTGTGAGGCCCTATCTGGAGTACTGTGTCCAGGTCTGGAATCCCCAGGACAAGAAAGACAGGGAGCTGTTGGAGAGGGTCCAGAGGAGAGCCACGGAGATGATGAGAGGCTGGAGCACCTCCCCTACGAAGACAGGCTGAGGGAGCTGGGCTTGTTCAGGCTGGAGAAGAGAAGGCTGCGGGGTGACTTCATTGCAGCCTTTCAGAACCTAAAGGGAGCCTACAAACGGGAGGGCGAATTAACTCTTTGAAAGGGTAGATAACTGCAGGACAAATTGAAGGAGGTAGGATTTAGGTCGGATGTCAGGGGGAAGCTCTTTACTATGAGAGTGGTGAGGTGATGGATCAGGCTACTTAGAGAGGCTGTTGACGTCCTGCCCATCCCTGGGGGTGTTCAAGGCCAGGTTGGATGGGGCCTTGGGCAGCCTGGTCTAGTATTAAATGGGGAGATTGGTGGCCCTGCATGTGGCAGGAGGTGGTTGGAGCTTCATGATCCTTGAGGTCCCTTCCAACCCTGGCCATTCTGTGATTCTGTGATCAACAGCAAAAAAGCTACTTAATAACCTAGGACAATTATACTCTTCAGTCTTGAAGGAATTTAACTTCAGAGTCCACGCTTAAAAAAACCTAAAATCACAGAATAATGTAGGCTGGAAATCAGAATGTCCTGACACCAGACCTGGTGAACACTCCACACACTGTCTAATAGTGTGTACTTACCTCCCCTGCATAGCGGTTACGCAAATTAAGAGAAGCCATGAAGTTGGAATAGTCCTTCTTCACACAAGTAGGTCTTTCAGTTAGCTGAGTTGCCTATGACCAAATCATATACAGCCATTTATATTGTTCACGTCTAATCAATTATCTTTTTTCCTTTCACACCTTTATCTACATTTTAAGCTTAGTTTCCTTTGTGCTTAGAATAGTATCAGGACTATGAGATACAAAAATACCAGAATGGATACACATGAAACAAGCAACATGTGCATTAGTTACATGTTTACAGTTAGAAACTTTTCCAAATCTACACACATGAACTTTTTGAAAGATAAAAAAGCATGAAAAATGTAATGAAATTCTATAATCTGACAGTCTTCTGTCACTCGATCCTTATATTTTTTTCCACACAGTTCATGTAGACAAGTCAATCAAAACAAGTGTGAACATTAAGAAGTCTTTTCTATCATTTCCTTTGTAGTTTTAAAGTTTCTTCCAGCACATTCTTGATTCTAAGTTTTTGTTTTTTTTTTTTAACTTTCCCTCTTCACAGAACTGTCACAGCATTCCTACATCCTGTGGGAATTCTTTATCCTACCTACATGTAGTGACTAGTATTAGCTAGAAGGATGACAGTAAAGAGGGAATGCAAAAGAAAATCCTGCTAAAGCTTGGAATGAGGAAAGTTTCAGAGCTGCTGCTAGAAAACAAGCTGGCTGATTACAGAACAGATTCTACAGATTTCTTCAAGAATCAAACATATTTAAGACAAACTACATAAAACTGAATGAAATACGCAATGTGAAAGCATATGTTGAGTGAACCTACAATGCATTAGAGCAAATGAGCATTCTATTCTAAAAAGCATTTCAGCGTTACATAAAGATTTTATTTTCAAACTAACAAATATCATCCCTAAATGTTTCTTTAGAAGAAATAGATACAGTTTTATTTTCTTTGCTTGTTAGCAGCCTACTTCTTAGTAACTCATGTAACTGACTGGAAGATACTCTGACTTGAGATGGAAAGAAATGAGACATCTGAGTAATTTTCATATGTTATGTCAAATATGATTTAGAGGCTCTATATTATCTGTCTAAACTTCACGTCATAAAATTAACATGACTGCTACACAAACAAGCAAATACTCACGCCCAAAGTGGTGTTTTCTCTGTTGTACCCAGCAAAGTGAAGAACACTTTCTGTAGCCATAGCCAGTCCTGTGTGCTGGGACAATCCTGATACCCAGTTCTGATGTTTGTTTAGGTACTCCTGATGCATCAAAAAACATTTGTTAGAAAAATACTGTGCTTTTCAAAACAAGGCAGCTCACAGGCTAACACAGTATAACTGAAGAAAGCTTAATTTCAGATGTATGAGAGGACAAGTAGACTACCTCTTGTAGGTACTGCTTGCCAGCAAAAAAAGCCTCATCCTAAATTTGCAAAGAGAAGGAGTTGTTTCATTTTGTAAAATGATTACGTGAACAAGGTAACACTTCAAATCTGAGATTCTTTTTAAATAGAATCAGTTTTCACAAAAAACCCTACAAAATAAAGTGCTTTGGATCAGTCTTGAGCCATCCCAGAAATTCTGTTTACACTTCTGGATAGTCATAACATTGGTCTAATCTGGACTGCATGTCTTCTGCTATTTAACTAAAAGAGAACTCCATTATACTGTAGTGAGACTTCTTGTATTAATAAATAAAACACTTTATGTAAACACCATAAAAAGTTTTTGCTAAGTTGATAGCGTTTTTTTGTTTTGTTTGTTTTTACCACTTTCTACTGAACTCTAACATATGTAAGTATCTACTACATCCATGCTTAGTTAACATCTACAGTTTGCCATAGATTCATATGCAATGTTTTTATTTCTTTAACTGAAAAATAAACAGCAAGAATGAAAAAAACATGCTCCCAAGAAATAAGACTTATAACCTAACTGTTCATTTCAGTCCAGCTGGTATTTCAAGCTACCTAATCTTTGGTAGACAGAATTATAACAAATTTTTATCTCTGAATTAAGTCTGGAATGATCAACTGTTTTCAAACCTGTCATGTTAAAGATACTCAAGTTTAGATCAAAACCAACAATTCTAGTTGTTCTCTGCAATAAAATAAGGAAAATTTTAGTGAGACAAAATTTAAAATCAAGTTTGAACAGTCTGAGAAAGTAAAGAAAACAACACAACTTAATTCTAATTTTGAAGATCTACGATGATCAAAATCTCTCACAGGAACAGGCTCATTACCTGTAGATGAGATTTTGTAACAGAAGGAGCCCACTTCATTGCCTCTTGCAGAATCATCCCACAGCGTGCAGCAAAGTCTTTGACTATACTCTAGAATAACAAAGCAACAACAATGAATTACAGGATATTGAACAAGAAGCACTGGTTTTAATGGTGTAATCAGTAACATGGGTACTAAGATGTGTCAGATAGCAATAGAAAACTTTACCCACAGATTTATTGTCCTTTTAAAGTAGCTCAGAGTAACTCACATCTGAGACAAAGAAAATCAAGTGCTACCTACCTCTCTGGCTTCATGCGTGTCAGGGACAGTTATTCTATATGGAGCATCAGGAATGTCGTAGTATGGTTGGTCCTTGTGAATATCCTAATCAAAAACAATAATCAGTTTTCAAAATAAAATACATAATCACTTAACTTGAATATTATAGACATCAGTCTTCCTAACTAACTGCTCCCGGAGTAAATCTGAACAGATCTAAGAGATGGTTTTTATTCCAGTAAGGTTTTCAGTACATTTAACTCCAGAATTCCAAAAATCTTATGAAAATTCAGCATGAAAATAAAACTTAATAAAGTATTTCCATCCTTAAAAATATCAGTAGGTAGCAACTGAAATATTACAGATCAGTAATAGGCACTAAATAGAAAAAATACACTGGAAATTGTACATGCTGACAACCTTCATCATTCAAAAACAAAACAAAGCATCAACAAATTTTTATGCAAAATGAGATAGTTAAACTATCCCCAAATTGGCTAATACTGTTTTCTTTACTACAAAATTTGATTTTCTGAGTATCTAATAACTTGCAAGGACAATGAAATGCCATATAATGGCAAAATAAAGGAAAACGTTCAGTTCTATAAAAGTAAAACAAACAAACAAACAAAAAAAAAACAACAAGGAAACATGCATCTTGTATTCCTAATAACATCACTGCATCATTATAAAAGAAACTTACTGCACTAAGAGACAGTGATAACGTCTGCAGAATGTCAAGCATAGTCTTCAGCACAGTTCCGCTCCACAGCAAGTGAGGAAATCTACAGCAAGACAGGATTGGAAGGAAATTATTTTATCAAGAAATGGAGCTCCTCATAGCGTGCTAGGTGAACTCATACTCTATAGAAATCACAAAGTTTGCCTCGGCTCACAACTAGCTGGCTCAATACATGCTTGAAATCTCTCTGAAAAGCAAGTTAAGTAAAGCTATTCCATCAAAAAAGATGGAATATTTTTTGCAGTTATTTCATGGGCGCTTTGCTCCATTCATGGGAATGCTAAGCAGAGACAATTTAAGAGACTGGATTAAAAATACTGTCGCCTGTTATTTTACAAGGTGATGTTTCAGAAGTATCAGCCACCAAATCCACATCTGTTTTCCTTAATTGTGAGTATTCACAAAGCAGTCAATGTGAAAAGAACAGCAGAGTAAAATCTATACTCACTTGTCTACCAGACCAGATAAGTACTTGTCTGCAACTCTCCTGATCCTCTTGTGAATGTGGTTAAAATTCACCAGTAAGAACTGTGCGTGTCGCTCCAGCTCTTCTTCATTCTCCTTGGTTTTAGGCTAAAACACATGCCAGAGAAGTATGAAGCCAAGCACATTCTCTTAAAATGAATAAGAACTTCCACATTAATTTTAAAGTTCAGAGGCCGTGTTACCTACTTTATCAGCCATCATTGTCAGGAAAGCTTCAAACACCTTATCAGCAACAGCTATTACACACTGCATCATTCCTGAAGAATTGAGAGAAGTTACAGGTTTGATAAGAACTGAGTTTTCATTATGCTTAACAGTTAAAAAGCATTCGTGTTTACCAAGCCAGTATTTCAAAAGTGTTTACCAAGTCAGCAGTTTCAGAACTAAGACAATATTTGGCAAGGACAAAACAACAAGCAATCTTGTGAATGATATTCCTTTTTTGTTTTAATTGCTGGATTTGGTTTAATTTTGCACGCCTATAGATAACTTCCATGCATCTCAACTTAGTAAACTTACCAGATTTGTCTTTTTGAATTGCTTTATCCTCAAAATAGCAAAACATGACTTGGAAGCGATCTTGATCAGTTGAACGCAGTACCCTAGGAGAGGAAGAGTTTTGCATGCTTTTTCTCCTCTTTTATTTAAACATCATCAACACAAAACGACATACTCTAACAATACATTATGTTACCACATAATCATAGTAATGATTCATTCCATTGTAACTTTAAGTTTCTAATAAATGCGATACTTCCATTTGTTTCTACATTCAACTAAGTGGACCCTAATGTTAGTGGAAAAAAAAAAAAAAGTCTGCCATCAAGAGAACAACTTCCACACCTTAGAAATAGGAAACCTGAGGATAATGCACTTACAAAAGCATCGCAAACAAACAAATCCAAAAAATATACTATCTTTAACATTTCTATAGGTCTTGTCTGTGTTGAATTTGTATAATGGAAATATCACTTAGCAAAAAAAAAAAACAAAACAAAACGTTTCTAAAAATACAGCCAATATGTTTTTGATAAAAACCGTATGTATTGTCAGCTATTGTCAAAGTAAAAATAGGATGGGGAAGTTTTTACCTACTTTCCTTACTACTAGACTTTCACTTCAGCTTTCAGCTACACAATGTTTTGCATAGCAGCAATGAATATATGTCTACAGAAATAAAATACATGAATTCAGCAAGTCACATTAGTACAAGCTAACACACACTACTGAGGCAAAAAAAAAAAAACACTCACTACAAAAAAAAAAAAAACCAACAAAACACATTTTCACAGCATCTACATTACATTAATCTCACAGAATAGACTATTTTTCAGATATTTTAATCCTTCTGCAATGCAAGGATGGGACTCCGTGCAGGAGATACGTTATATTTGTAAGATGTTCCCACGAAGAATCCTGTTGTCCATCTTCTGTTAATTCCTATACAGAGGAGCTCTCATTTTTGTGGCTCTGCTATGTTATCGCATCCTTTTACCTACCATGATTTCTGTACAGATGAATTCTTAGTCTCAGAATGTTCAGTGCAGATATTTTGATTCAATTTACTGATTCTCATTTACCACAGTGTCTGGCAAATCTGACTTAAACATAAATTAAAAAAAAAAAATCATCAGAAGAACGGTACATATGTATATACCTCATGTACTCCAGACGGTAAACAGAAAGGAGATAAGTAGACATGGCAAAGTCCAACTTATTGATCAAAGCTGACACTTCTGGAGGAGGATCCAAGAGATTTATTATGGTACTCCGCAGTTCGTTTAATTCAGCCTAGAGATGAATACATGCAGTTATGTGAAGTGGGAGGGCTATATTAGTTTGTGTTCTGAAAATATTCACTTTTAGCTATTAGTCTTCTTACTTTTTAATGTTCACAAATAATATGCCAGGATACCTCTGTATGCAGACTAGGACCGGCATGCTCTAACACAGCAAGTCAGATTCCTAGTATGCAGAACTAAGCAGAATTTGGAGTCAAGCTCCTTGCTAAAATGACTACTAGTTCCCATGCAATTAGACCATGAAGAAATACAATACCTCTAATTAGCGTAATGTAATTTTGATCAATACTGATATTGTTCAGCTTCTGAAACTTCATGGAACCACTGCTTTGATGTTACAGAATTAGGTATATATGCACATGCTGACTTCTGTATTGTTCGGGAGCCAGAGATTTCTTATATGCTGCTGCAAATCAATTCGTCACACACTGCTACCATAAATGGCCCTAACATAAACATATACCCTGCAAACACTAAAGAGAGTATACTAGTACCACGCCAGAGAATAAAAGAAAGTTCAACTAAAATGCATTTCTTTGAACAAGGAGAAAAAATGAATGTGTTGTTTTCTTCCAAAGCTGTTGCTTTTTATTTTCTCCCTACAGTTCAAGTGTTGTCTCCATCTGATACAGAATGGGTGAAACTATCTACTAAAAGGCTTCCGTCTCTGCAAAGACTTGATTTCTACAGCTAATGAAAATAGTATAGCTGCCAGCCTAAAAAAATATATGAACATACAGTAAAAGAATCTAAAACATTTCTATATACTGCTGTCAAAAGAGCTGTGTAAACAAGGCATTTTTGCTAAGAGGAGGCAGGTTAAATGCATACTCCGCCTTTGAAATACATGGTAATTCTTGGTTAATAAATCAATATAAATGCAATAGAAGAAACCAATACTTACAGAAGTCACAGTATCATTCTTCATGGCAGAATTGTACTGAAGAACAGATCTGAGTGGTTCTTTGCTAGGAAATGTGAGTAATGGAGACTTGGTGGCAATTTCACATACACCCTCATACCATTCCTCTGGCCAGAGACCTGAAACACAAAAAATGAAAAGTGGAACAAGGGAGAAAAACAGAATTAATACTCCCTAGGTTAATGAGCATTACCAAGCTCTACACTATTCCTCGAATGAATTTTTTATGCTCTTCAACACAAACACAGTGGTTCATGTTTCCAAGTATAACACACATTTAAGTGATCCCAAGTGAAACTTCGAAAGGCATAGTAAGTTTCTACTTCTTTTCCCTTTGTACCCCATACATACCATACCCCATTTTCCACTTCAGGAACTTGGTGGTCAACATTAATACTTAAGTTACAGATAATTGCTGTATTAGCTTAAAAAAAAAAAAAAAAAGTCAGGTTCAAGGACAAGTTGTACTGTGTTGAATCTCACAGCTAAACAGAACAGTTTTCATCTGCTTATCAGAAGTTTAAATACAAGCAGCAATGTTTTTCTCTTCAAATTTACATTACCTGATCCTTCCACAGCAAATCCCATGAGCACTGAATACAACCAGAAGTCACGGAACAGCTTTTGCAATCTGGGCTTGGCTTCCTTAATGGGTGGCAAGCGTCGAGTGAGCTAACAGAGAGCAAAATAAAATAAAATCAGGAAATGGTGGCAATTACAGGAACCTAATTCCATATGAAGAAATCAACTTCTGCACTTCCATTTACTATGATTTACAAAGGGAATTTTTTTGTCACCCAAAGAAACTAATATAATATTACTAACGTTATACTGAATCACAGAATGGCCAGGGTTGGAAGGGACCTCAAGGATCATGAATCTCCAACACCCCTGCCACATGTAGGGCCACCAATCTCCATGTTTAATGCTAAACCAGGCTGCCCAGGGCCACATCCAACCTGGCCTTGAACACCTCCAAGGACGGGGCATCCACAAGCTCTCTGGGCAGCCTGTTCCAGTACTTCACCTCTCTGGGTAAAGAATTTCCCCCTGAGGTCCGACCTAAATCTCCCCTCATCCTACACATATCAACCCTTTCAAAGAGTTGATTCCCCTCTCCTCTGTAGGCTCTCTTTAGGTATTGAAAGGCTGCAATGAGGTCACCCCACAGCCTTCTTTTCTCCAAGAGATGCTGGTCTTTCTGCTATTATGCATTCTTAATCACCAGCTCTCTTCAGCCCTCTGCCACTGTTGCAGCTTAGAGATAGCTGTCCCTATCATGTCCCCTTCTGTTTCATTCTAGGCAAGCTTTACAGAGAATCCTAAAGAAGGGAGAGGCCTTTCAAAATTTGCTGGGGATTTGGGCTGGTTCTCTGGTGCAGCGGAGATGGACAGTTTTGTGGAATTAGTCTTCAGCTGCTTTCTGAGGAAAATGAATGTAAGACAATCATAGATCTGTAGCATGTTACTTTTCTGGATTCTCTTCCCTCATTATATCGCATCCTGATTACCCACTGGTCTGCAGATCTGCACCCAGACCCTTAGAACATGCATTATTTTCACATATTACCATTCTCTTTTTACTCCTGTATTGCATGGTTCTGGTAATTTCCTGCTTGTTATATTCCTACACTTCTTAACCATTAAGGCATAGGATATTAATTCATTCATTCAAGTAATTATTGGGCATTTTTTTTTTAGCTAGTTGTTCACTCTTTAGCAGACAACTAAACTGTGTTCTATTCTGAAAATTTTCTTGGCTGCTACAGAATTGGAAGTCATAGGAAAAAGTCTTTCCTTCTCACTTGGAGCGTGGCCTGACAGAAAAGGAAAATCACTTCAGCTGTAGAAAGACTACCACAGCAGAATTCATGTGAGGGCAATGTGAACATGCTGCTTTATTTACAAATGAAAAAAACTATTTTTTTTTTTAGAATAGCACAAAATCAAAATGCTGAAACTAAATTTCTGTGGTTTCACACAGGAATACCATCATACTGATACAGTAATCCAAAAAGAATACCTTATATTAGTATGCATCAACTGTAGAGAGGAAGAGACCACACGGTCTTTCAAACCGTGAGCTCAAGACAGCACTTTAAGCTTTGTTTTAGCACAGAGGAACTCAAAATCAAAATATTAGTCAAGCATACTTCTGGTTGCCATTGTTTATTGGATTTGTGGAAATACACTGAGGCTCCAGCTGGGGATCTTTTATTGTTTTCGCCCACACACATAATGACATCAGTCCTGGAGAATTTACTATCTAAATAAGCAAGTAAAGGAACACCATTTTCAACACATCTATTCAAGCTGTCTGATAGCCTTTTCACAGACAACGGAGCAGTTTATACTCTCAAACAACAAAATGATGTGGAATTCTTACAAATTCACATAGAAACCTGACAGTCTTTTACCCTAAAATTGTTAGCAGCACAGAAAATGTTAAAAAAAAAAAAAAAAAAAAATGAAAGGAAATCTTCACTAAACTGTGAACTTTACCTAATATGACCAGATATTATTACTGTAGACTTCATTTTCAGAATTGTATTTAATCTATCCTGAAGAGATCTTTTTCTTAACTGTAAAATAATTCTGTTGTGGTATGAAAACAGACAGGACTTCAGTAAAACCTTACATAAAGCTAACTCGGGACATATTTATAGATCATAAGGCAGTCTGCCATTAAAACAAATAACAGAAAATTCCTATACTGCAGTAAAATTAACCTGAGTCCTAGCTGGTGAACAGCACTGCTGAGTTGACAGCAAATGTCTATCACTGTGCCTCTGGTGCAGAAGTAGCCTCACAGATCCAGTAGCCTCAACCACATTTGAGGTGACGTTCAACTAATAATATAACCTCATCTTAGCACAAAACAGCAGTGACATGGTTTCTACCAGTCTTAAACTGCCAAGTTTACATGCATGCTTGACTGTGAAACTTTACATACACGCCAATTTTTACTCAAAGATTTTCCTCAAACATGAGCCTGCAAAGCCATAAAAGTAGTTCAACAAACAACAAACAAAGCAATCCAGCAGAGATCACTAGGCAAGGGAAGGATTTTGGCTGACGAAGTAAGTTTAGCAGTGTTTGATTTAGAAAATGTTTACTTTGGGAGATATACAGAAAACTAGCACCAAAGTTCAGATTTAAAACTTGCCATTCCCCTCACTTGAGCTGCTCAACACATCTTTTCCATACTGTGACTTAAAGGTAAGCCTCATTCACATCATCTGTTATTTTACGTAGATCTGAATCAAATGCACGTATATTGCAGAGTAGAGGAATGCTCTGTATAGGTGGAGGTGAGCACTGATTAAACATTAGTGAAGATGAGAATATAAAGTTGGGAACTGCTGACAGCAAACTCTTACACAGCAAAAGCAGAAAATATTTTTCAGTAGTTACCGGACAAAGAATGTCAGCCTAGAGAGAAAAAAAATAATCTTTTTCTCTTCTGGGGGTGGGGGAAATAAACAAGAAAGATGAATTTATGATTTTATCAAGTTCTTTAATCACAATGTAAATCTTCTAGTGATCCTTCATCATTGTAAGAACAATTCATTTTCTATATTGGTTAATCATCCTGTTTTTAGATTTCAAGCTAATTACTTTCAGGAGAGAGTTCAAAAAATTAAGTCTTAGCTTAGTAACTTCAGTCCTGTTATGAGCCTGAAAAGTGCTGCAAGCAATGGTTTACAAATTTGTGCATCTATGTATTTTACTTCTACAGCTCCTTGGTCTATTTGCTAATTTGCAAAACATTTTAAATCAACCTCTTAGTAAAACTTTACTCTTGTCGTATTCAACTTTTTTTCCTACACTATAAATCTCTGTGATTATTTTCCTTTACTCAAAGCAAGTGCTATGAAGTGAAACTGATTTTATAAAGTCACCAAATAACTTTCTAAACAATCATTGTAAAAAAAAATAAATTAAAAAAAAATCAAGACCTTGGCATTCAGACACCCATTTTACATTGTCACCTGACACAATTATCAAATGTTCATGTATTGGTCTTGGACTACTGCAAGAAGAAATTAAACTTTTTCATACCTTTTTAAGATCACTTAACTACCGCAAGTCAGAATTATGGAGAAAAGTCAGACCTACTTCTTGTCAAATGAGTAAGGTTGATGGATTTACTTCAAACTACGTATCTAGAATTAGCTCTTGATTTTGAAGTCATGACCCCCCCCCCCCCCCCCCAAAAAAAAAAAAAAAAAAAAAAGCAGCAGTGCTCTGCTTAAGAGACAAACGAGATGAAACTCCTTTTTGGAAAAAAACAAAAACAAAAACAGGTTCTGCTTAAATATATTCATAGATACACTAAGTGAACTTAGAAATCTATCATCAGGATAACACTAAGACCGGAAGAACGGTTGCAAACAGGAACTTATAGGATTTCACATCATGAAGAAAATAGACAACACTACATACTGTGCGGTGCTACATAAAAGTAAGTTGAAACTAAATACAACTAAATAAGAAACAGAATCAAGAATCCAAACAGGAGAGGCAGATAGTTGTACCACAGTTGCAAAAAGTGAGCACGCCCATGGCATAACACACAAGGCAACAAACAGGCCAGCATGAACATTTAAGCATTTTACACACTGCAGCCCCACTAACAGCATGCAGTGCAGATAAACGTCTTTTGGTGAACTCCTTCAGTGGACCCCAGTCCCTCCTCCTACTAACCTCAGATCATTCAACTTCTCTTCAACTCATATTTTTAATGATGAAGTTAGTAAACTTTAAGCAATTGTATTTTACACATAAATAGATCAGTGTATTTCAGGCAATGAATTTGTTATCACTGAGATATGTCAATAACTACTACTTAAGCAGGAGGAGTTCAACAAATTATCTAGCAGGATGGAGACATTATGTAAGCAAAAATGATTGCCAGTAAAACAGATTTATCTATCTACCTAAGACAGATAAATACTGTTGAATACACCAACTACAGACTTTGTGGAATGACAGAATCTATTGAAGACCTAAAATTCTGGAACACACAATTAAAATCCAATTACCCTCTTTCAACTTTGTTGTCTTCCAGGTTTTCAGAATGAAGTTCCTACTTCATTTGTTTGCTTTTGCTGTCATCATAACCTCCACATTTTGTGGAATCAAGGACTTTGGTGACCATTTTGAAAGCCTCAAAGATGCACATACACATGCAAATGGAACCTATGATATGCCAGACCTACCACTGGAGTTCCACAGAGAAAACACAATCACCAATGACTTGATTCCTGAAGAGGAGGAGGAAGAGGACTATCTAGATCTTGACAAGATATTGGGTGAAGACGACTACAGTGACATTATTGATGCTGCTCCACATATAGTTTCTGAAATTCAGCAAGGAAATATTCTGGAACTTTTCCAAGGCAAAACCAGAATCCAGCGTCTTAATATCCTCAATGCGAACTTTGGCTTCAACCTTTATCGGAGTGTAGCAGACAAAGCCAACTCCTCAGACAATATTCTCATGGCTCCTGTTGGTATTTCCACTGCAATGGCTATGATTTCCCTGGGTCTGAAGGGTCAAACTCAGCAGGAAGTATTATCTGTTCTCGGTTTTGAAGACTTCATTAATGCCAGCACCAAATATGAGCTCATGACAGTCCATAACCTCTTTCGGAAACTCACTCATCGGC